GCGTGAGCCACTGCGCCTGGCCTTCAGCTTTTTCTCCTCCTCTTTGTTGAGGCAGGGTCTCACTTGGTCACCAAAGCTGGAGTGCAGTGGTGCAATCTCAGCTCACTGCAGCCTCAGCCTCCCAGGTTCAAGCAATCCTCCTGCCTCAGCCCCCAAAATAGCTGGGCCTACGGGCACACCACAGCCAGCTAACGTTTGTACTTTTTGTAGAGGCGGGGTTTCACCGTGTGGCCCGGGCTGGTCTTGAATTCCTCACCTCAAGTGATCCCCTCGCCTTGGTCTCCCCAAATATTAGGATTACAGGCGTGAGCCACTGCGCCTGGCCTCCACTCTTAATGATGGCATTGGGGAGTTCTGTGAGCGAGACTGGGGCATATTTCAAACTCTGCTTAACAGATGGACCCAGGCCCAAAGGGACTCAACTGGAGCCTCTGCTCTTAATCCAGCCCCCAGGAATAGATCCTATTACTCCTATTTACAAGTATAGAAAATTAAGGCTCAGAGACGTTAAGTAACACACCCAAGCACAGAGCTCAGCAGTGGCAGACCTGAGATTTTTTTGTGAGATGGGGTCTTGCTCTGTTGCCCAGGCTGGAGTGCAGTGGTGTGACTGTGGCTCACTGCAGCGTCCACCTCCTGGGCTCTAGCAATCTTCTTGTCTTAGCCTCCAGCCTCCCAAGAAGCCGGGACTACAGCCACCATGCCCAGGTACTTTTTTTCTTTTTTTGTAGTCATGGGGTCTCACTCTGTTGCCCAGGCTGGTGTCAAATTCCTGGCCTCAAGTGATCCTCCTGCCTTGGCCTCTCAAAGTGCTGGGATTATAGGCATGAGCCACCATGCCAAGCTAGAGCCAAGATTTGAACTCAGGTCTTTTTTTTTTTTTTTTTTTTGAGATGGAGTTTTGTTCTTGTTGCCCAGGCTGGAGTGCAATGGCGTGATCTCGGCTCACTGCAACCTCCACCTCCTGAGTTCAAGTGACTCTCTTGCCTCAGCATCCCGAGTAGCTGGGATTACAGGCATGCACCACCATGCCCAGCTAATTTTGTATTTTTAGTAGATACGAGGTTTCACCATGTTGGTCAAGCTGGTCTGGAACTCCTGACCTCAGGTGATCCACCCGCCTAGGCCTCCCAAAGTGCTGGGATTACAGGCGTGAGTCACCATACCCAGCTTTTTTTTTTTTTTTTAAACAGGGTGTCACTCTGTTGTCCAGGCTGGATTGCAGTGACATGATCTCAGCTCACTGCAGCCTCTACCTCCTGGGTTCAAGTGATTCTCCTGCAGGCACGTGCTACCATGCCTGGCTAATTTTTTGTATTTTTAGTGGAGACGGGGTCTCACCATGTTGGCCAGGCTGCTTTTGACCTCCTGACCTCAGGTGATCCGCCTGCCTTGGCCTCCCAAAGTGCTGGGATTACAGGCGTGAGCCACCGTGCCGGGCCCGGTATGTTTCGACTTAATGGGAGGTTTGGGCTCCCTGAGCAGGTAACAGTTGACCTAAGACTTGAGGGGTTGAGGAGTGAGCTGCATGAATGGCTGGGTGGAGGGTCCACTTAGAGGAACAGTATGTGGAAGGCCCCACAGGAGGACACTCAGGACCCGGCGTGGTGAGAGGGGAGTGGGAGGGATGGGAAGGTGGAAGTGCCTCAGGCCACAGGAGGGTCTTTGTCCAGTCTCCCCCAAGCTTAGCACGAGCTCCATTACACATCTGTTGAACGAATGAATGGGAGGAGTGGGATCCAGCTCATGTGAGTTTCCCACCCCGTAGGTGAACGAGCGGGTCCTGAACAGGCTCCATCAAGTGCAGAGGATCACTCGGAGGCTGCAGCAGGAGCGGAGGTAACCCCTTCTGTGCACACCCCCCCCCCCCCGGGCCTGTGAGCTTCGGCTCCCAGATATTCCCACCCTCTCGTGTCTCCCCATTCCACTCCCACGAGCGCCCAACCCTCACAAGCCACAAGGAAGAGAGCCTGGAGATGAGGGCCTGGGGCTGGAAGAGTGGAATTCGATCTTGGAGGGAGGAGTGCTGAGCACTGGGGCTGAGGGAGGGCTGGGTAGAGTCGGCTGCTCCCTGTTACCTCTACCCCTAGAATACACCCACGTCTTCTCACTCCTCTGCTGCTACCAACCTGGGCCTGGGGACACAGCCTCTCACTTAGATTACTGCTCTCTGCCTCCCTGTCTCTCCCTTAGCCCAAGTCTCCTCTTTAAACAGCCAGGGCAAGCCCCACCTTTTCCTCTTTGTACCTGTAGCCAAGATTTTTTTTTTTTTGACACAGAGTTTCACTTTGTGGCCAGGCTGGAGTGCTGTGGCACGATCTCAGCTCACTGCAACCTTCGCACCTCCTGGGTTCAAGTGATTCTTCTGCCTCAGCCTCCCAAATAGCTGGGATTACAGGTGTGCACCACCACGCCTGGCTAGTTTTTGTATTTTTAATAGACAGGGTTTCACCATGTTGGCCAGGCTGGTCTCGAACTCCTGACCTAGGTGATCCACCCACCTCGTCCTTCCAAAGTGCTGGGACTACAGGCGTGAGCCACCACGCCCTGCCTTAGCCAAGGTTTTTCAGATCAGGAGAGTTTATGAAAGGGATCGGTGGCCTTTTGGGTGCTGAGTTAAGAAAGCCTGTGTGCATGCAAAACCTCCCTGAATAATTTTGCACAGCTACATGAGAATCAGGCTTTCCGCACTGTTGACCTGGAGCCCAGGCCCCTGGTTCTGCAAGCGTGGCCCGTGGACGGGCAGCATCAGGGCCACCTGGGAACTTGGTGCAAATGCAAGTTCTCCGGCCCTGCCAGTCCTTCTGAAATGTCAGACAGACCAAGCCTCTCCTCCACCCCTCCGAGGTGGCCCTTGGCCGACTCGGAGTGAAGGTGAACGTCGTGCAGCAGCGGAGCAGGCCCTGGCTCAGAGCGCCCCTCACACTTGCCTGCCTGCCGCGCTAGAAGCCAGGCGCTCACCCGGCCCTGCCAGCCCTGCATCTGCTTGGTGAGGCCTCTGCCACCAGCCTTTGAAGTTCCAGTCCCGGTATCATCCACCTCCTCCCCGCTTTTTGGCCGTTGTGTTTTGTTGGCTTCTTCACTGTCTGTCTACGCGGTGACCCCGAGTTCCATCAGCAACAGGGCCTTTGTTTTGCCCCCTGACGTACCCTCAGCACAGCCCCTAGAACAGCACCGACAGCAGAGCGGGCACTCAGAGCATGTGTAAAGAACAAGATCCGCCTGAAAAGCATCCTGGCCGGGCGTGGGGGCTCAAGCCTGTCATCCCAGCTACTCAGGAGAATCGCTTGATCCTGGGAGGCAGAGGTTGCAGTGAGCTGAGATCGTGCCACTGCACTCCAGGTTGGGCAACAGAGCAAGGCTCCATCTCAAAAAAAAATTCTAACTCACATATGAACGTTTCCTAAGTGCCGATATCACATGAAGTACTTTACAGAAACCCTCTGGTATCGCTGTGTCGGTATCACCACTGCAGCCCCCAGCGCAGCTGAGGCTGTCACCCCGTCTGCAGAGCAGGAGACTCAGCCTCAGGATGGTTGCCTTGTCTTGCTCCAGGCCTCCAATGCCAGAGCTCAGGACCTCCTGGGTCCAGGACGGCTTTGGCTTCGAGCGCCGTGGGAGCTGAGCTCTATCCTGTGGCCCTTCTTCCCCAACTGCTAGGAGATTAACTCATTCCAGTCGGTGGCTTCTCCCTGAGCAGGTTCCTCATGAGAGTGCTGGACTCCTATGGGGATGACTACCGGGCCAGCCAGTTCACCATCGTGCTGGAGGTGAGTGCTGGGCCTCCAGGACGGGCAGGAACTGGGAGCCCAGGACACACCATCACCGACCTCCCGCTCCTCCCTGCCAGGATGAGGGCAGCCAGGGCACAGATGCCCCCACCCCAGGCAATGCTGAGAATGAGCCTCCAGAGAAAGAGGCACTGTCCCCGCCGAGAAGGACTCCTGCACCCCCAGAACCTGGCAGCCCGGTCCCCGTCGAGGGGCCCAGTGGGAGGAAGAGGAGGCGAGTGCCACGGGATGGACGACGAGCAGGAACTGCGCTGACTCCAGAGCTGGCACCAGTGCAGGTGAGGAAGGGGGACACTCAAGGGGAGGGCCTGGGGCTGGGCAGAGTCAAGTTCAGGGCTCCTGGGGCCTGGGGAAGTTGGAGAAAGGGGGTGAAGCAGGAAGTGTTGAAAGCCTAGGATCAGGCAGGGAGGTAGCTGGAAAAAGCAGGGCAAAGGCTTGGGTAGAAAAGTAGGCAAAGTTGGAAAAGGAAGGAGAAGACCTGGAGAAGGCTGGGAGGAGAGGAGAGGGAAGAATCAACGAGAGGGCAGAAGAGAAGGCCCGGTGAGGGGAGGAAAGTCAGAAGAGCATCCGGACCCAGGAACACCGGGATTGCCTCTGAGGTGTAAGGAGGAAGCTGACCGGCCTGGCAAGACGAGAACGGTGAGGATGGCCAGGTGCAGTGGCTCAGGCCTGTAATCCCAGCACTCTGGGAGGCCCTGGTGGGAGGTTAACTTGAGGCCAGGAATTTGAAACCTCCCTGAGGTCTCAAAAAAAAAAAAAAAAAAAAAAGCTAGGCTTGGTTGGCCTGTGCCTGTAGTCCCAGCTACTTGGGAGGCTGAGGTGGGAGGATCACTTGAGCCTGGGAGGCAGAGCCTGCAGTCAACTATCATGGCACCACTGCACTCCAGCCTGGGCAACAGAGTGCGGGCCTGTCTCTTTAAAAATCAAAACAAAACGAAAACAAAAACAGTGAAGCTGATGGGATCTTCCCGATTCCCAGCTGACCAACACTTCGTTATCTCCTGCAGATTAAGGTCGAGGAGGACTTTGGCTTGGAAGCGGACGAGGCCCTGGATTCCAGTTGGGTTTCTCGGGGTCCAGACAAACTGCTGCCCTACCCGACCCTAGCCAGCCCACCCTCTGACTGACCCATGCCCAGTAAACTGACCCCGCACTCACCCTGGCCGCCGTCTCCTGTTCCCACCTGTGATCACACACATGCTCACATTCTGGGGTTGGTTTTCACATTTTTATTGGGAGCCGAGAGAGGGCCCGCCTTGGTCAGTGGAGGTGCTCACAGGTTCTTCAGCCACTCCAGGCTGGGCCCCTGGGGGTCCTGGGGGTGGCTGGGTATGTCGGGCATGTTCCCATCATCACGGACAGGCACTGTGGGACAGGAGGGGGGGCCACTGAGACCAGCACGTCTCTAGGGCCTGGAGAGAAGAGCTGTCTGTCGATTTATATTCAGAGAGGGAAAGGGAGACGCCAGGGGGTGAGAGGAGGGTAAGGATCAGAGAATCAGTGATGCAGAAGAGGCAGGGAGATACAGAGACCGAGAGACATGGAAAACTGGAGAGACAGAGAGAGAGACAGAGACCCCAAAGAGATGGGGAAACAGGACAGAAACCTGTAAAGATGGAGACCGAGAAAACACCACAGACAGCAACCCAGAGAGGGACAGAAATCTGGAAGGTAATAGAAACTGGATGCACAAACACAGAATAGTGTACGAATTATATCTCAATTCTTAGAAAGTTCAGCAGGGGGAGTACAGGCAGCACTGCTGAATGTCTGACCTCTGCTTAGGAAAGACCTGCCCATAACGGCCCCGGCCCCAGCACAGGGCAGCTGGGCCCATCCCAGAGATCCCTGCAGGGCCCCCACTTACCTGGGTAGTTGTAGGGCGTGGCCTTGTTGATCATGACCGAGTACTTGAAGTAGGGGCTGATTGGGGGCAGAATTACAGCTGTGGAGAGACACAAGTGTGAGGCCCAGGGGAAGGCAGCTCTCTGAGGAGAGGCGAAGAGACGCTGAGCATTGGCAAGGGGAAGATAAAAGTGCAAAGTGGGAGGGCCAGCACCCCCAGGAAGATCCTTGGTACCCTGGGATCCCTATTCTAGTTAGGAGGGTTTAAAACTCTTTTTTGGGGAGTTAAGTGGAGGTAGGGGTGGGAGCCCAACACAGGTACATGGGGCCTAGAAGACGGAGCAGTGAGGTTGGTCATGGAATGAGTGCATTAGCGTTCATCATGGAGCATCCTGGGGGTGGTGTCACGGGACTGTTCCTTAGAAATCAAGACTGTTACAAATGGCCGGACGCGGTGGCTCACGCCTGTAATCCCAGCGCTTTGAGAGCCCAAGGTGGGCAGATCGCCTGAGGTCAGGAGTTCAAGACCAGCCTGACCAATATGGTGAATGAAACCCCATCTCTACTAAAAAACATAAAAATTAGCTGCATGTGGTGGTGGCACATGTAATCCCAGCTACTCAGGAGGCTGAGGCAGGAGACCCTCGAGCCTGGGAGGTTGAGGGTGCAGTAAGTCCGGATCGTGCCACTGCACTCCAGCCTGGGTGACAGATTCCATCTCAAAAAAAAAAAAAAAAAAAAAAAAAAAAAGACTGTTACAAACTGGAGGAGAAAGGGCTCCACAAACAACAGTCACTGAGGAGTCATAGTCCATCTTAGTGGGAGCCAAGAGTCCTGGGGGATGGGGCACAGTACATAAAAGGAATGTTCCAGGCCCACAACGTCTGACAGATGGTGAGAGCCAGGTATGTAATTTTGTATCTTCCAGGTAACCACAGTAAAAATAAAAGATACAGATGAAACAAATTTTAAGAAACATACTTAATTTGGTACATCCAAAACATCACTTCAGTGTAATCAACAAAAGATTATTGGTAGTTTACACATTTTTTTTTTTTTTTTTGAGATGGAGACTCCCTCTATTGTCCAGGCTGGAGTGCAGTGGCAAAATCGCTCACTGCAACCTCAGCCTCCTGGGTTCAAGCCATTCTCCTGCCTCAGCCTCCCAAGTAGCTGGGACTGCAGGCATGCGCCACCACACCTGGCTAGTTTTTTAATATTTTTAGTAGAGACAGGGTTTCACCATATTGGCCAAGCTGGTCTCAAAACTCCTGACCTTGTGGTCTGCCTGCCTCGGCCTCCCAAAGTGCTGGGATTACAGGCATGAGCCACTGTGCCTGGCCCACACTTTGTTGTACTAAGTTTTTGAAATCCAGTGGGTTTTATACCACCTCAATTCATACCAGCCCCACTTCAAGTGGTCAGTGGGCCAGGTGTGGCCGGTGGCTGCCAGCTGCCATATTGAACAAATGTTCAGAACCTTACTTAGTGCCTGGCTGGTGGACCAGCAGTACTGACAAGACCTGGAAAGCTCTTCAAAAATGCTTGAATCCCAGGCCTCACCCCAGACCTACAGAAACAGAACCTACAGTCTGGCTTGGCCCAGTGGCTCATGCCTTAATCTCAGCACTTTGGGAAAGTGGATCACTTGAGGTCAGGAGTTCCAGACCAGCCTGGCCAACATGGTGAAATCCTTAGCCAGACATGGTGAGTGCCTGTAATCTCACCTACTCAAAAGGAAAAGGCTGAGATAGGAGAATCACTTGAACCCCAAAGGCAGAGGTTGCAGTGAGCTGGGATCATGCCACTGCACTCCAGCCTGGAAAACAGAGGGATACTGCATAGAAAAATAAATAAATAAATAAATTAGATGGGCGTCTGTAATCCCAGATATTCAGGAGGCTGAGGCAGAAAAATCCCTTAAACCCAGGAGGCAGAGGTTGCAGTGAGCCAGATGGCGTCACTGAACTTCAGCCTGAGTGACAGTAAGACTATGTCTCCAAAAAAAAAAAAAAGAAAAAAAACAAACTACATTGGCCAGGCGCGGTGGCTCAAGCCTGTAATCCCAGCACTTTGGGAGGCCGAGGCGGGCGGATCACGAGGTCAAGAGATCGAGACCATCCTGGTCAACATGGTGAAACCCCGTCTCTACTAAAAATACAAAAAATTAGCTGGGCATGGTGGGCAGAGGCAGGAGAATTGCCTGAACCCAGGAGGCAGAGGTTGCGGTGAACCGAGATCGTGCCATTGCACTCCAGCCTGGGTAACAAGAGCGAAACTCCATCTCAAAAAAAAACAAAAACTACATTTTACCAATCCCCTGCCCCCACCCCTATAAGGAACTCCAGTGCTAATTAAAGTGTGAATAGCACAGTTCCACAACAGAGGTTTTCAATCTGGAAGGCGTATTAGGATAATAGGGGGATTTTCACAAGAGGCAGCAGATTCCCCAGCCCAACCTCCAACCAAACCAATTCAATTCAGAATGGGAGAGGGGAGCTGAAAGGGAGGAGGAGGATCTGGACTTTATTTTTGGTGCTGAGGTGTTGATGCATTAAGTAGGGTTGAGAACGTCTGATTTAGGGAAGTTAAGAGCGCGTTGGGTAGATGGAGAGGAATGCGGGGGCGATGGTGGAGAGTTATAAAGGGTATGGGGATAGACAAGGGGACTCGAGGACGGTAATAGGGCTTTAGGGGTACAAGATGGAGCGATGTAGAGGGACGGGGTGGATGATGCAAGTTTGCGCTTGGAGACTTACGCACCGAGGGTCCCGATGCAGAAGGACACGACCAGTACTGGCTCCTTGTCCCAAGCATTCTTGAGGAAGGCGCGGAGTCCTGGAAAAGTGGCGAGGAGTCACCCCTGCAAGGGGCTGCCCCCGTGACCTCTAACCCTCTCGTGCCACCCCTGCCCTGGAGGAGCCCCCTAGTGGCTTCTGCCTCACCCTCCAGCACAGACCCCATCGCCTCCACCACTTCCCCGCTGCACCTTAGTCCCAGGACTGCTTGGAGATTCCCGGAACTACCCGAGCCCCGCGCGCCACCGGCACTTGCACTTACTCGCGGCCATCTTGGTCTCGGCGGCGGCGACAACAACGGAGAGCACTCTGGGAGTTGTGGTCTCAGCGCGAAGCACTCTGGGAGTTGTGGTCTCAGCGCGAGACGCCGCTAGTGGTTGCGCGTGCGCCCTGGAGCAGAAGTGGAGGCGAAAGCCAGGACGCGGAGCACTCTGGGAGTTGTGGTCCCTCTGCGCGAGGGGCCGCTGTCAGAGTCTCGCGTGCGCAAAGCGGTGGTAAAGGAAGTGGTGCCGGGAGCAAGCGCAATCCTGACTTTGCGCACATGCGTGGGATCTCCTTATTTTAGGTTCTTAGTTTTAAAACAGACATACAGATATCTTTCTATCCGTCTGTCTATATTTAAAGACATGGTCTCACTTTATCACCCAGGCTGGAGCGAGGTGGCATTATTTTTTTTTTAGACAGGTTCTTGCCATGTTGCCCAGGCTGCTCATGAACTGGGGTGAAGCGATCCTCCCATCCCCGCCTCCCAATGAGTATTTGTTTCTGGAGTTAAATTAATGAACGCCACAGGTTATGACTGACCCCCCTGCTAACTTTTTCCGTGGTGCTATGGGGCTATGACACAGTCACCCATAGGCCCCCACCTCGCTTCTCTCTTCTCTACACTGGGCTCTAGGTCTGGCTTTCCGATGTTGCCTCATTTCCTGTGAGGAAAGAGCCAAGCTCTGTCGGCAGCTGCAGGGATATCTGCCCACCATGGCCCCGGTGCTGATCCTCCAGCTGCTGACCCTCTGTGAGCTGCCCCTTCCTCCTCCCTGGGTTCCTGGCTGGGGTAGGGGGCAGAGAGAGAGGCGATGGAGACCCACACACCCTGGAGGGGGACCAGGAGCACTAGCTGGGGGTTTGGGATTCTAGATTCAAATAAAGAACAGGACTGGGTCCCAGACCCCTGGGTCCTAAAGCAAGAGAAGGCAGATTCCCAAAAGAGGAAGGAGATGGGGACAGGTCTCTCTGGATCCTGAGGCAGGAGGGCAGGGGACAGGGAGGACTCCTAGAATCTCACATGGGACGGGGATGGAAGCCAGGACTCCTACTTCCCTGGTGAAAGGGGGCTGGGAACAGAGCTCGTAGCTCCTGAGAGAAGAGGGAAATAGAGACTCAGACTCCTGAACCAGGAGAGGAGAAACTGCGATCATTGTCTCCTGAAAAGAGGGAGTTCAAGGGCCTGAACTCTTGGGTGCCCAGGCCAGAGGGGTCTGGGTTCAGACGTCTTCAGTAGCTGGGTAATGGAAGTCTGCATTTCTGCCTGAGTCAGGACGAGGGAGGGATAAGATTCTTGTTTCCCAGAGGAGAGAGGAACTGGGGACTCAGATTCCTGGGATACCAAGGAGACGGGGCTGGCCACAAAAGGCTTTGAAAGGAACCCTTTGCTGGCTGAGGTGGCTCACTGAGCCTGTAATCCCAGCACCTTGGGAGGCTGAAGCGGGTGGATCACCTGAGGCCAGGAGTTCAAGACCAGCCTGACCAATATGGCGAAACCCCGTCTCTACTAAAAATACAAAAATCAGCTGGGCATGGTGGCAGGCACCTGTAGTCCCAGCTACTTGGGGGGCTGAGGCAGGAAAATCACTTGAACCGGGGAGGCAGAGGTTGCAGTGAGCCGAGATCGTGCCATTGCACTCCAGCCTGGGAAACAGAATGAAACTCCTTCTCAGATAAAAAAAAAAAAAAAAAAAAAAAAAAAAGGAAGGAACTACCCCCTAAACCTTTTACAGGGCCCCTGTGTCACACAGACAGCACTCCGTCTGGTGAGTAGCCACCCCATCCACTCTCCTTTATGTCACTGACCCTGCTTTTCCAACTACTCAGATTTTATTTTGGTGCCCAATCCCATCCTGACGTCCTTGTTCTCCTCCCTCCCTCCATTCCTTCCCTCTTTCCTCATTCCCTTTAGTGGCCATTATTTAAAATCAGAGTTCTGGCTGGGTGTGGTGGTTCACATCTGTAAGCTCAGCACTTTGGGAGGCCAACGTGGGAGGATCGCTTGAGCCCAGGAGTTCGAGACTAGTCTGGGCAACATAGTGAATGCTTGTCTTTACTACTACCAATAATAATTTAAAAAACAGCCTGGTGTAGCAGTGTGCGCCTGTGGTCCCAGGAACTCAGGAGGCTGAGGCTGCAGTGAGCTGAGAACACGCCACTGCACTCTTGCCTGAGCAACAGCAAGACCCTGTCTCAAAAAATAATAATAAATTAAAAAAAAAAATAGTCTGGGCACAGTGGCACCAGGATGTAATCTTAGCACTTTGAGAGGCCAAGGTGGGAGGATTGCTTGAGGCCAGTAGTTCAAGAGCAACCTGGTCAATATAGGTAGACACCCCCCATCTCATTACTTTAAATAATAATAATAAAATTACAGACTTCTGGGACCTGACACTTTGAAACTATGTTTACAAACTGTGGAGTGAAGCTGTGAAGTTTCTGTCCTGCCCCAGTGATGTGGACCTGGTTTTTTTTTTTGTTTTTTGTTTTTTTGTGAGACAGTCTTGCTCTATCGCCAGGTGCCAGGCTGGAGTGCAGTGGTGCGATCTCAGCTCACTGCAACCTCCGCCTCCCAGGTTGAAGCGATTCTCCTGCTTCAGCCTCCAGAGTAGCAGGGACTACAGATGCATGCTACCACGCCCAGCTAATTTTTGTGTGTGTGTTTTTTTTTTACTAGAGACAGGGTTTCACCACGTTGGCCAGGATGGTCTCCATCTCTTGACCTCGTGATCCACCTGCTCTTAACAGGCCTTAACTGTAGTCCAGCCTCCCCCTGATTTCACCAACAGGGAACTGAGGCTGAGAAAGGGGCAATAACTGTCCAGGGTGATTTTCCTCTTTCCCCAACTTCTCTTTCATCTTCTGGGGCTCCCAGGAGGTCCGAGGACCCAGGCAGCCCCATTCATTCAGTCCCCCCAGCTTCATACCCCAAGCCATGGCTGGGAGCTTGGCCAGCTACGGTTGTGACCCCTGGGGTCAACGTGACCTTGAGGTGCCGGGCACCCCAACCCGCCTGGAGATTTGCACTTTTCAAGTCTGGAGAGACCGATCCCCTTCTCCTCCGGGAAGTGTCCTCCGAGCTGGCAGAGTTCTTCCTGGAGGAAGTGACTCCAGCCCAAGGGGGAAGTTACCACTGCTGCTATGGGAAGCCAGACTGGGGACCCAGTGTCTGGTCCCAGCCCAGCGATGCCCTGGAGCTGCTGGTGACAGGTGAGGTCTTGGGGTCTCAGAGGAGAAGGGGGTGGAACAAGGGAGGCAGGGGAAGGACAGAGAGATACAGGGAAAGAGACACAGAGTGAAGAGAGCAAACTGATAGTTTCCCAGACAAGGAGAGAAAGAAATATAGTGGAGGGGGGGGCCCGGGGAGTCGGGGGAGAGAGAGAACGAGAGAGAGGGAGGGAAGGCTGGGAAGAGAGAAAGGAGAGAGAGAGACGGGGGTGAGGAGAGAGGGGAAAGAGAGAGAGGCAGAGATAGAGAGAAGCAGAGAGAAAGAGAGGTACACTGCAGAGAGAAAGGGAAAGAGACAGAAAGCTACTCGGGAGGCTGAGGCAGCAGAATCACTTGAACCCGGGAGGCGGAGGCTGCGATGAGCTGAGACTGCGCCATTGCACTCCAGCCTGGGCAATAAGAGTGAGACTCCGTCTCAAAAGAGAGAGAGAGCGAGAGAGCGAGAGAGAAAGAGAGCGAGCCGGGCACGGTGGCTCACACCTGTAATCCTAGCACTTGGGAGGCCGAGGCGGGTGGATCACAAGGTCAGAAGTTCGAGACCACCCTGGCTAACACGGTGAAACCCCGTCTCTACTAAAAATACGAAAAAAATTAGCTGGGCGTCGTGGTTCGAGCCTGTAATCCCAGCTACTCGGGAGGTTGAGGCAGGAGAATGACTTGAACCCCGGAGGCAGAGGTTGCAGTGAGCCGAGATCGCGCCCCTGCACCGCACCTGGGCGACAGAGCGAGACTCCGGCTCAAAAGAAAAACAAAAGAGAAAGACAGAGACAGGGACAGGGGCAGAGGCAGAGACAGAGAGACAGACAGAAACAGAGAGAGCGAGAGAGGCAGAGAGAGGAGAGAGCGCGAGCGCCCACGCGGCCCGCTCCCGCCCGCAGAGGAGCTGCCGCGCCCGTCGCTGGTGGCGCTGCCCGGGTCGGCGGTGGCTCCCGGCGGCCGCGTGACCCTGCGCTGCGCGGGCGGCCTGCGGAACGTGAGCTTCGTGCTGTACCGCGGGGACGTGGCGGCCCCGCTGCAGTACCGCGACTCCGCGCAGCCCTGGGCCGACTTCCCGCTGCCGGGCGCCCGCGCCCCCGGCACCTACAGCTGCTACTACCACACGCCCTCCGCGCCCTACGTGCTGTCCCCGCGCAGCCCGGTGCTGACCGTCCGCGCCCAAGGTGAGGGCCCTGCGGCCTCCCTCGGACCCAGAAGCACGGGCCCCAGCCCTCCTCCCTCGGACCCGGGAGTCCAGACCCAGTCCTCCTCCCTCAGACCCGGGAGTCCAGACCCCACTCCCTCCTCCCTCAGACCCGGGAGCCCAGGCCCCAGTCCTCCTCCCTCAGACCCAGGAGTCCAGACCCCAGCCCCTCCTCCCTCAGACCCAGGAGTCCAGACCCCAGTCCTCCTCCCTCAGACCCAGGAGTCCAGACCCCAGCCCCTCCTCCCTCAGACCCAGGAGTCCAGACCCCAGCCCCTCCTCCCTCAGACCCAGGAGTCCAGACCCCAGTCCTCCTCCCTCAGACCCAGGAGTCCAGACCCCAGTCCTCCTCCCTCGGACCCAGGAGTCCAGACCCCAGCCCTCCTCCCTCGGACCCAGGAGTCCAGACCCAGTCCTCCTCCCTCGGACCCAGGAGTCCAGACCCCACTCCCTCCTCCGTCAGACCCGGGAGCCCAGGCCCCACTCGCTCCTCCCTCGGACCCGGGAGCCCAGGCCCCACTCGCTCCTCCCTCGGACCCAGGAGCCCAGGCCCCAGCCCCTCCTCCCTCGGACCCAGGAGTCCAGACCCCAGTCCTCCTCCCTCGGACCCAGGAGTCCAGACCCCGCTCCCTCCTCCCTCAGACCCGGGAGTCCAGGCCCCCAGCGTCTCCCCCCTCAGACCCACGAGTTGAAGCCTCCATCAGCTCCCCCTCAACTTTCAGACTGGGGAGTGAGGTCCCTAAGTCCACCCCAGGGGCAGGAACCCTGGAGTTCAGGGCCCAGCCTTCTGGGCCCAAGCGCTGACAGCCCCTCTCCCCCGCTCCGCCCGCAGACTCCAGCTCCTCCGACTACACGAGGGAGAACCTGGCCCGGCTGGGGCTGGCCGGTCTGGTCCTCATCTCCCTGGGCGCGCTGGTCGCTTTTGACTGTCGCAGCCAGAACCACGCACCTGCTGGCGTCCGCCCCTGAGCCCAGGGGCACTGCAACCCCAGAAGACTTCCAACCTGAGTGGCAGAGAAGCCGGGACCCTGGGCTGGACTGTCCTTTCCTGTGGGAGATGGGTCAGCGTCGGGGGAGAAACTGTAGGGAAAGGAGCAGAGGCCTCCGGAAAAGCGGGAGGCTCTGCACAGCGTATCTTGAAGGCAGCTGTTCTCGCACCCTGAGGCCGAGGGCCAGGAGTCTTAAGTTTTCAGCCTCCTTTGTTTCAACTTATCCAGAAACTGCCCTTTCCCACCCCCACCACCCCCGCCTGTGAAGTCCTTGAAAGGGGAACTATAGATGTTAATTCCGCAGACTGTTTGCTCCAGGCTTTGGGCACGGCGCCCGCACTCAATAAAAGCAAGCTGCTTCTGCTTTTCCGGGCGGGGCAGTCCCTTAGCCGCTGTTAAACTGCATACCTGTCTCTGAGTGCCCATTTCATCCGTCTGGGGACAGACCCGCACTTTCCCGCAGCGGCGGGGCCCTGCGGAACCATCCTTCAACACCCCCCCCCCCCCCGCCCCCGCATTGCCCTGGGCTGTGGCTTCTTTCCCGGCCTCTCCCAAGGAGCAGCTGAGTGAAAGACACGATCAGTGGTTAAGGCTTCCGAGCCAGGAGACGGGGGTTCGAATCCCAGCGCTGCCATCTACTCAGTGGAGCATTCGGAAAGTGCCCTTCCCCAACTCTCTCTCGCCTTGACGGTAACATGGACGCACTAATAAAACCTACTTCATAGAATTGTTGTAGGATTCAGTGGGTAATACACATCAAACACTTAAAACAGTAGCTGGCTTGCAGTAAATTCTCAGTAAATGTTAGCTATCCTGTAACACCGATTTCTACCAGACTCAGCGCCCAAAGGAAGGTCTCACCTTTTTTTAATCAAGCATAATCAAGCACAATTTTTTTTTTTTTTTTTGAGAGAAAGTCTCACTCTGTCACCCAGGCTGGAGTGCAGTGGTTCAATCTTGGCTCACTGCAACCTCTGCCTGCTGGGTTCAAGTGATTCTCATGCCTCAGCCTCCTGAGTAGCTGGGATTACAGGTGCGTGCCACCATGCCCAGCTAATTTTTGTATTTTTAGTAGAGGTGGAGTTTTGCCATGTTGACCAGGGTGGTCTTGAACTCCTGACCTCAAGTAATCCACCCGCCTTGGCCTCCCACAGTTCTGGGATTACAGCCATGAGCCACCGCACCCCTCCCTCCCTTTCTCTTCTTTTCTTTCCTTTTTGTGAGATGAGCCGTACTCTCTTGCCCAGACTAGACTTCAGTGGCATGATGAAGGCTCACTGCCACATCAATCTCCCAGCTTAAGTGATCTCCCCACCTCAGCCTTCCAAGTAGCAAGAACCACAGGTGCAGGCCACCATACCTGGCTGATTTGTTTTTACCTTTTTTTTTGTAGAAACAAGGTCTCTCTATGTTGCCCAGGCTGATTTCCAACTCCTGAGGTCAGGTGATCCTCCGGCCTCGGCCTCCTGAAGTGTGGGGATCATAGCTGTGAGCCACCCACGCAGGCTCCTTCCTCCTTTCTCGACTTGCGCCCTAATTTTGGTGGAGCACACAAGTTCTTCTACTTTTGTTGTTTTTCAACTTCTCCCTGCCCTTTTCCCACTTTATGGAGAAGAGAGTGACTTCCAGAGCTTGGACAGCCCAGCTGCACCATGCTGGGCAAACTGGAGCAGTGTGCAGACCCTCTGAGTTTCCATCTGAGAAAGGGAAATCCAAAAATATCTACCTGTCCGTCCTCGAGAGAAATAAATGAGGCAACATGTCCCCAACACACGAAGAAACATTAGGAAACCTTAGATCAGAGGTTTTAACTCCTCTGACCCCAACCCCTCCTCTTTTTTTTTTTTTTTTTGATATGGAGTTTCGCTTTTGCTGCCCAGGGTGGAGTGCAATAGCGTGATCTCAGCTCACTGCAATCTCTGCCTCACGGGTTCAAGGATTCTCCATCTCAGCCTCCCAAGTAGCCGGGATTACAGGCATTTGCCACCATGCCTGGCTAATTTTTTGTATTTTTATTAGAAACAGGGTTTTGTTATGTTGGCCAGGCAGATCTCCAACTCCTAACCTCAAGTGATCCGCCTGCCTCGGCCTCCCAAAGTGCCGGGATTACCGGCATGAGCCACCGCACTCAATCCTGTTTTTATTTTCGAGATAGAGTCTTGCTGTGTCACCCAGGCTGGAGTACAGTGGTGCAATCTCGGCTCATTGCAACCTGCGCCTCCTGGATTTAAGCAATTCTCCTGCCCCAGCTTCCCAAGTATTTGGAACTATAGGTGCGTGCCACCACACTCAGCTAATGTTTTGTATCTTTAGTAGAGATGGGTTTTCACCGTGTTTGTCAGGCTGGTCTTGAACTCCAGACCTCAGGTGATCCCCCTGCCTCGGCCTCCCAAAGTGTTGGGATTACAGGTGTGAGCCACCGCACCTGGCCAGTTGAGAGGAGAATTAAACAGATATGGTCCTGGTCCTCATGGAGAGTAGAGTCTACCAGAAGTTTTCTGGAAAAGTCTTAGATTAAACATTCTTTTTTATGCCTAACCTCCCTCGGCATGCATTCAGTATTAAATAATTTGTGCAGGAGGTGGGTTTTATGAACAACAAATGAAAAAGAATAAAGAAAGAAGGAATAAAAAATGTGTAATACCAGGCACAGTGGCTCATGCCTGTAATCTCAGCACTTTGGGATGCCAAGGTGGGTGGATCACAAGGTCAGGAGTTTGAGACCAGCCTGGCCGATATAGTGAAATCCCATCTCTACAAAGAATGAAAAAATTAGCCTGGTGTGTTGGTGCATGCCTGTAATCCCAGCTACTTGGGAGACTGGGGCAGAAGAGCTTCAACCTGGGAGGTGGATGTTGCAGTGAGCCGAGATCGAACCACTGGGCTCCGGCCTGGGCAACAAGAGCAAAACTCCATCTCAAAAAAAAAAAAAGTTTAACGATTTTTCTTCTCACTTGGGGAAAATATGGAAGTAAGATGTTTAGTCTGAACAGGATCCCTCTGAAGATGATGTGTCCACTGCTTAAATAGCTGTGCAAAGTTAGTGCCACCACAAGGGGGCAGCCCTGCGCTGGCACTCTGGAAATCTGGTACTTAACCATCCACGCAATCAGAGGCTTGAACCACAGCTGGGCTGAGTCTTGGCCGGTCTCTTCTGATCCTCCCAGCACATAAGAGGATTGGGGCGGCGGGGTTTGGAGGAGCTGCTTGGAGGCCATCTCCCTTTTACCTCCTGCGATATTGTGATATAGTAAGAAATACATGTTTGGTCTTCAGCTCTGGTTCCAAAGACCCCCTTCTCACCCCATCGCTCTGGAAATTCCAAAAATCCCTGGTGAGAAGCGTTATCTTTTGTTATTCCCAGCACTTTGGGAGGCTGAGGCAGGTGGATAACTTGAGGTCAGGAGTTTGAGACCAGCCTGGCCGACGTGGTGAAAATCCATCTCTACTAAAATTATAAAAACTAGCCAGGCGGAATTACGAGCCTGTAATTCCAGGTACTTGGCAGGGCTGGGGCAGGAGAATCACTTGAACCCAGGAGGCAGAGATTGCAGTGAGTTGAGATCACACCACTGCATTCCAGCCTGGGTGAGACCCTGTCTAAAAAAAAAAGCAAAAAACAAAACAGAATGTGGTTTGATAAGGTCATAAACTAAGAATATTCAAAAGACTCAATGTGTTTTATATCTTGTGTAGTATGGAGATCTATGGATATTTATTACAGCGACCAGTGTTCCATTCTCTGGTTCCATAAATCTGTCCTTTGAAGTATAATTTGCATAAAATAACCTGTAGGAGTCCAAAGACATTAGAAATTATTGCCAGTATTGCAATCACTATTTTGAAGGAGAAACCATGGTGCCATTTGGCGGTCTTACTTAATATTTCGTTGCCCTAGTAACAGTCTTATGATTGACGCCTGAATTTCTAAGCAGAATAAACACTTGTAAAAACAATTATGTTAAATCAGAAGCCATGCATTGATGTGTGTGTCTTAGTCTGTATTCTGTTGCTTAGAACAGAACACTTGAAACTGGATAACTTAAGAAAGAAAAGCAATTTGTTTCTTGTCGTTATGGAGGCTGGGAAGTCCAAGATGGAGGGGTCGCCGTCTGCTGAGGGCTTTCTTGCTGTTGAGGACTCTCTGGAGGGTCCCGAGGTGGCACAGGATATCACAGGGCAAAGGCGCTGAGTGTACTACTCAGGTCCCTCTTCCTTTTTTTTTTTTTTTGAGATGGAGTTTTGCTCTTGTTACCCAGGCTGGAGTGCAATGGAGTGATCTCGACTCACTGCAACCTCTGCCTCCTGGGTTCAGGCAATTCTCCTGCCTCAGCCTCCTGAGTAGCTGGGATTACAGGCATGCGCCACCATGCCCAGCTAATTTTTTGTATTTTTAGTAGAGACGGGGTTTCACCATGTTGACCAGGATGGTCTCGATCTCTTGACCTCGTGATCCACCCGCCTCAGCCTCCCAAAGTGCTGGGATTATAGGCTTGAGCCATCGGGCCCGGCCCAGCCCTCTCCCTCTTCTGATAAAGCCACCAGTCTCGCTCCCAGGGTAAGCCATTAATTCATTAACTCATTAACTCATTAATTCATGAATAGATTAGTTCATTTGTAAGGAAAGCATCCCCATGACTCAATCACCTCTTAAAGGCCTCACCTCTCAATACTGCCACATTGGGGATTCAGTTTCAACATGAGTTTATTTATCTATTTTAAAATATATTTTATTTATTTATTTATTTATTTATTTATTTATTTATTTTGAGACGGAGTTTCGCTCTTGTTACCCAGGCTGGAGTGCAATGGCTCGATCTCGGCTCACCGCAACCTCCGCCTCCTGGGTTCAGGCAATTCTCCTGCCTCAGCCTCCTGAGTAGCTGGGATTATAGGCACGCACCACCATGCCCAGCTAATTTTTTTTGTATTTTTAGTAGAGACGGGGTTTCACCATGTTGACCAGGTTGGTCTCGATCTCTCGACCTCGTGATCCACCCACCTCGGCCTCCCAAAGTGCTGGGATTACAGGCTTGAGCCACCGCGCCCGGCCTATTTATTTATTTTTAATACAGAGTCTCACTCTTGTTGCCCAGGCTGGAGTGCAATGTGGAGATCTCGGTTCACCAAAACCTCCGCCTCCTGGGTTCAAGCAATTCTCCTGCCTCAGCCTCCCAAGTAGCTAGGATTACAGGCATGTACTATCATGCCTGGCCATTTTTTTTTTTTTGTATTTTTAGTAGAGACACGGTTTCTCCTTATTGGTCAGGTTGGTTTCAAACTCTTGACCTCAGGTGATCCGCCCTCCTCAGCCTCCCAAGGTGCTGGGATTACAGGCGTGAGCCACTGGGCTCAGCTTATTTATCTATTTTTTGAGACAGGGTATCACTCTGTTGCCCAGGCTGTTTCAACATGAGTTTTGAAGGGGACAAATATTCAAACCACAGCAGCAGGTTACATTGTCTTTCTCCCACATTTACG